GTTCTGTTGACAGGGCGGGGCGCCCTGCTTGTATAATGGTAGGGGAAGCACTGCATTCGTGGGGGGGACACACGTTGCAGTTCGGGCCACATTAAAGCTGATTGAAGAGCAAGACCCTCATCAGGTGGATAATAACAGGTGCGGTCTTCAGGCAGTCCCCAGTAATGGCACGTTCTAAAAATATATATAAATGTTTCTGCTACCATCATGCAAGCGGGGCGCCCCGCCCTGTCAACAGAACCGAGCGCCCCGCCTACAGAACATACTGTATTTTTCGCCCTACAAGTCGCAGTTTTTTGCATAATTTGCATGCCCTGCGACTTATACACCGAAGCAACTTGTTTATGGATTTTTTCCCCATACTTATAAACCAAATTTTAGCTGATACGACAGTTTTCATTAATTCTGACTGAAAATATTGAACACTAACATTTTCAGCCACTGGATGGCACTTGAGTAGTATGGCATGCCATTGTGTCATGTAATAGGTAAAAGTGGATATTTTTGATACAATTTGCTTGCCATAGCCTGACACCTTCGTCCAGCTCGCCTGGAGTCGAATCATCTTCACTTCGCTGCGCCGCCCCGACGAAATGCAACTGATTTGAACATTAAAATACAATAATCCCTTGTTTCAGTGCTCAATCTGAGCATAACCTAACAACACCAGTGACTTTAAACACTCTGGTCTTCATTAAAGATTCAAAGTTCTTACCCAGCATGTTGAAGATGAAGTCCTTGGCAGTGTGGACCTCCAAGGCGGTCTGGTCTCCAAACTCCCCCTGCTCCAACAGAACCAGCTCCGACACCTGCGCCGACAGCTGCTCCAAGACGGCCCCCGAGCGGAAGTCCACCTCCGAGAGCTTCTTGACGGGGGCCGGGGATCGAGGCGTCACCGCGCTCATCAGGGACTCCATTTCCACAACGCTGGAGAAGAAGAAGTCATTTCAGGTTAGCTGCGATAAAACCAGAACCCGATTCTGCCTCAGCAGAAGTCAAAGATCTAAACTTTTACGTTTTAGACTAAAAGCACTTTTAGCTGCTGTTTTGACCATTTTACACATAACCAGGTCTGAACTTTGAGGCTTCTATGGACTGACTGGGTTTGAGCCAAGAGTCATCGAAATGTACAAATACACACGACTAAAGAAAAGTCTGGAAGGAAGGCAGCGTGGTGTCAACTCAACTCTACGTGGTGCACAGTGGCTGAGAATCAAACCATCAACCCTCCACAGCCGAAGGCAGCGGTGGGTTTGGCACGGTTCTCTGTCGCCCAAAATCTAGTTTTGTTTTCCCAAAGGACACTGATCGAAACAAAGTTTGCTTAAACAATCCATGCTGTCCATATTTTCCTAAAAGGGTGCTTTCTGTCAGACTGTAGGTTTACTTTAGGTTCCTAGAGTTTCTAAAAGTAGAATGGGAGGCAGAGCTTTCCTAAAGTCGAACCAACTTCCTGTTTCTGTCAGCGAGTCTGATACATTATCTACTTTTAAGACTAGTGTTAAAGCTTGCCTTTTGATAAATCCTATAGTTAGGGTTTGCATTTGTTTTTTGTTTTTTAAAGAAATTTGTGTTTTTGCAGCAATTATTACTGGTTTTAAAGGTTACCATGATGCACCTTGAAACAAATTACTTAAGAGTTGATCTGTTCCATAGCTTGCTTTTTATAAACATAGCTTTTAATTTAAAATATTTTACTTCTTATAAACGATTTTCGTGGTGACACCATAAATATTTCAACAGCAGAAAAAACTGACACCAAACCTTCAACAAATGTGTATAACTTCAAAGAAAAACAATGTTTTAAAAGTTTCCATTTTAAGCACAACAAATAAATAAACAACCTGCGCAGCTAGCTTCATTAGCTTATTTTGCTCCGGTTGCCATGGAGACGCGCACGTGAGAAGTTAGCGGATTATAAGAACCGACAGCCCCGACCGGGCGGAAAACTTTCACAATAAATAGAACAAAACTCCTAACAAGTGTAACGTAAAGTCAAAATGGGTTTAAACAGGGCAGCCGCTGTGTAAACATAAACAAAAAGTTGTAAACAAAGTTTAGTGGGGGACAAACAAGGCCCAACAGCTGGGTCAATTAGCTCAGCCGTTACAGGCTACTAAGCTAATAGCCGAAGAAATTAGCCTACCTGTTGTCAACGTGTTGACTCCGGTTAAGTTGTATAAATTAACTTAGGTTAATACTAACATGTATTTACATACAGTTTAGTATCCCATGATGAATGTGACTGGCACCGCTCAGGCGCCTCACGCAGCTAATTCCTTTTATTAGCCTACTACTACTAGCTTTACAAATTAGCTCTCTAGCTAACACGTCAGATGGGGATATTTAAGTCGCGTGCGGCGCACGCACGCACACACACACACACACACATTCATTCATTCACACCCAGAGAAATGTAATATGGAAGCACCCACATCGGTTCGCTCAGGCTTCGTTTGCTCACATGATTAGCTTCGCGGCTAAAACAGCCGGACAACACACCCTTTAAACGGCGAACGCGTTCTTCGCTATCTTCTGCCTTTCCTGAGCTCCAGTCCTTCCTCAGCTGTCATTTCCAACAAGTCCCAGGTGCACCCGCCGCCTTCCTTCCCCCTGGCAACACGGTCCCAGAAATCATGGTCCTACTCCCCGGATCCCATTAGCAGTATGGGAGGTGCTTTCTTCTACGCCCCACTTTAAATAAATAAATAAATAAATCAGCACACATGAGTCTCCCTGTCCTTGTGGAAGATGGCAGGATCTGTTTATTTCCTGCCAGCTTATACACCAATTTCTGCTACACCTGCTCAGAAAAACTAGATCCTATTATGGTAATACCCAGAATTAATCAGGGAATTAGAGCTCTGAATAATGAGCGGGAATTAGCTGAGGGCACATGAGGGCAGCGATTGTGTCGTCCAAGAGATCCAAGGCTATGTTTACACCATAAAGTTTGTAGTTAGAGGATAAAAAATATATGTATTTGGTGAAAGTGTAGCTTTAATGCTGAGTGCTGATTGACTTGGCTTACAATTTTGAAGCTAAAAGTGAAATGGTAAGGATAAAACGATCAGAGCTCAAGCTAAAGACAGCAAAACAGAAGCTAAAATCAATAAAACAGTAATAAAAAAAAGCCAAAACTAAAAACAACAACATGAAAAGTAAAACCAGACAAGCAAAGGCTAAATTCAGCAGAACAGAATCTAAATCAGCGATACAGTAGCTTAAAGCTACCTATAGCAGAACACTAGCTAAAACTACAATTAGCAAAAGCTTAAATTAGCAATACAGTAGCTTAAAGCTACCTATAGCAGAACACTAGCTAAAACTACAATTAGCAAATGCTTAAATTAGCAATACAGTAGCTTAAAGCTGCATTTGTAAATGAGTCCTCGAGGCTCAATGGGAATTACCTGTATAAATAAAGGTTGATTGATTGATATAGCAGAACACTAGCTAAACCGACAATTAGCAAAACAGCTAATTGTAGTTTTAGCTAGTGTTGTGCTTGTTTAAAAACAGCAAACTTTTGCTAAACGTTAAAATTTGCTAAATGCTACAATTAGCTAAACAGTAGCTAAAAATTAATCACAAAACACTATGAAAACTAAAACAAGCTAAACTAATGCCAAAACTAGCAGAACAGAATTAAAAAGCTTATATTAGCAATACAGTAGCTTAAAGCTACATATAGCAGAACACTAGCTA